TGTAAAATCTTAATTCAAATTATTTTATAGAGACATAAGCTATTTTATAACAAGTTTGATAATTATCAGCGGTTTTCATTCATTCATTGTTCCTCTTATCTGCCAGTACTCAAGGATAATTTAAGGTTGCACTTCAGTTTTCTGATTCAGAGTAGACCTGGTGACTAAGAATAATTTAACCAAAAGCCACTATAATTTTAAGTCTTTCTCATAGCTGTCACATAAAGGAAGTCATTTAGGACCACCAATGAGGTGTGTGGGTGTTTCTTTTAAGATTTAAAGAGCTGGGTGGTGATGTGGAATAAGACAAGAAACAAAATCACAGACCAACTTAATAGATAAATAATTTAATAAGTCAAACAAAGTTCATCATAAAATATATACCCTACAAAATAAAAAGTTAAGAACAATAAAAAGGGAAAGAAAAAAGGAAAATATGTCAGACATACTAGAGGACAACAGCAACAAATAAACCTAATAAACCACTATACAAAGCTAGGCATGAATGGCAAATAAATGCTTACATTTAGAAATTTTATTTGGCATAAACGCTTATTTGTGTTTTACTGAATAGCAATAGCACTTGATCTTTCAGGGGGAGTACTATAATTCCTTGCTAAGTTAATGTAATTTCGTCATCTGACAGGGCCATAATTGCATAGCACAATACACTCATGTATGCTTATTTCTAAACAGAAGTGCTAGAAATCAAAAGTAAATTCATGCACTGTTTTCTATTCCCTAACTTAGTTAGTTAAATAGGGACCTACACCTTGAAAAGGGCCATTATTTAAGACATTAGCCTTAAAACAAACAAAAATATCACACAGAGACAGATATTCTAGAAAATGAAAAGACAGAGAATTTTTACCATTCTCTTTTTATATAACAAGAAAGGCCTTATAAGTATCAAATTACATCTTAATTTTAGTCCATATTTATAAACAAATAAAACTCTGCTGAAATTTAGAAATAGTTCTTTATTTCAAAGCTGAGGACAGGTTGCTCATGTTAATATCTGTGATAAATGGATTATTTGTATTTTAACAGAGATATAAACGAATAAAAAATACTTAACAAATTATTAGTTTTTTTCCCTAGAAGACTAAGCATTAACTGATACACTTTGTTCTTGCATGGTCACAAAAATCATTGAACTGCAGGATTTTATTACTCGCTCTGGCAATAACTAGCTTGGAGATCTTAAAGAAGGCACTTACCCTCTGTAAAACGAAGAGATAAGAATAGATGGTTCCTAAGTTTTCATCCAGCTACATATTTATAAGAACTGTTATGTTTTAACTATATAGTACTTACATGGTCTGAAACGCCTAAGACTTTAGATGTCAGAAATTTCAAAATGATTGTTCCACACCACCAAGCACTACCTTGAATTAGCTGGAAAATATAACAGCAGTCCAGTATTAAAAATTATAAATTACCCAGTTAAAACATTCAGTTATACCTACAAATAGCATAGGAAAACTTTAATCATGTTAAGTATATTACTAAGGTATATATGGTGGTGTCTACAAAAAGGGATGCTCCTTTAGAAAATTTTTCTTAAAGGCAAAGAATTGAAACTGCTATAAAATACATAACAAGACTAAATTCTACACATCCTAAATCTAAAGAAAGTTTTTAAAATTATTTCTTTTCAATTTCTGTTAAGAAAAAAAAGAGTTATGTGTTTGTTTCCAAAAATTATTTCTCAGCTAAAAAATCCATTTTTCAAAACACTGCATTAAAAGCTCTTCCACCACTCTTGTAGAAGTATAATTATATGAGCCCATCCTCAAGAAAAGAAAATTTTAAATTTGAAAGTTAAGCTTTCCTTTTATAAAGAAAAATATGAACTAAAAGTAACAAGGAGGCTCCTGTTTGTTTTTTGTTTTTTGGCTAGCCTTGATTAAAAAGGGAACAAATGTGGACTTCTGGGTAGCCTGAGGAAAATGATAGCAGCATAAGTTCATATCTCTCCATATATCAACCAACAAGTAGAACAATACAACCACACATACAGACAACAGATAACCGTACAAACTTCAATTACCTGTAAATAGGAAAGAACAAATACCACAGACTTATACCTTAAGTTCCTGACCTAAGCCTTTTCACAGAATGAGGGGAAACCCATAAAACTATACAGAAGCAAGAAGAGGAAAGTGAGGGGCCCAGAACTGAACTAAAATAATCTGAGAAAGAGAAAAGTCCACCAAAGTATAAAAAGAGCCCTGGTAGATTGACGAGTGTACTACAGAGCAGGGACCTAAGAATGTGCAGGATAAAAAGTATTGATGTTAGAAAGGCATCACTTCTGGAAAGAAGAGAGAATAAAAAGGGAGAGCAAAGGGAAATTCAGTTTCCAGCAGAGCAAATGAGAACCCCCCCCCAAAAAAATCAAGACAATTATGCTGCAGACACAAAAAGAAAACACAAGGAAAAAAATATACACTGAAAAAAACCCATGCTACATTGATAGAAGAGGCTCACTTGGACTAGAAAACATCAACCCTGTCCACAAAATAATCAGATAAAAGATGCCTATATATCCATACAAAGCTTCTAAAAGAAAAAATAGAGAGTCAAATATTTCGACTGATGAAATCCATACTACTGAACAACAAAATCTCAAAAAGCAGAAGAAGACTATTACGTAGAACTAGAAGCTGAATTAAATATCCTCAAATAAGCATTCAGAGATATAAAAAAGCAACTTAAATGAGAAATTCAGAAACTAAAAACAAAATGGAAAAAAACCAAAGAAATAAAAAGTTTACT